GAAGCTGCAAAGCACACTCTTGGACTTAGCGCATCCAGGGTGAGATAGCTATGAATATCCCAAAAATGTCATTCTGCCGAGCCGCTCCCTTTAAGTATGGGAAACATCTACAATTCTCTTTTTTAGGGACATGGTGGTGAATGTGCTTCGAGATTGGGCATTGGGAGCGTTTATCGAAAGCAATGAACTGATTCGCAAAATGTTCCACCTGCTCTTGAGACAATATTCTGGCATTAGAGAGGTAAATTATTTCAACTTCATTGAATACCTGCTTCTGTTACTTTCAATTCATCTTTTTTACTAGTTCTGTATTTTTTTATTTATTTTTGATCAATTCTTTCAATTTCAGCTGCAAGAAGCTATGGGACAGACTTATGTCTTGCATGAGAGGAACAACCTGGATGTGCAGGACTTCATCATTTACCTTATCCAAATACGAGAACTGCTTACTGTCCAATTCGAGCACACCGAAGAAGCGATTTTGAAGAGAGGATTATGGTAGACCAGTACCACAAAGCTCCCACTTTTTTCCTCAAATGGTGATTTACAGGAAGTTGATGAACAATCGCATCTTCTTCCAACATCCTGATCTTATGCGATTGCTGTCAGTTCATGAAAATGTGATGTCCATAATGATGAACATTCTAACAGCTCAGCAAGGTGCTGTCGAACGTGAAGGCGAAGAACTCAAAGAGAAAACACCTGTCAAAGTATGACAATCGACTTATTACTTTTTACCCTGCTCTCAAAAATGTAAATTTGCAGGACTCTTCCGAAATGGTCGTCGCTTGCTCGAGATTCCTTTGCTACTTTTGCCGAACATCACGGCAGAATCAGAAAGCAATGTTTGAGCATCTCTCATTCCTTCTGGACAATGCCACTATGCTTCTAGCTAGGCCAAGTCTGAGGTAGGCCTTAATGCTAAAGAAATTGGCTACATTGGACATCTGTTACTTCCAGAGGCTCAGTTCCTCTCGATGTCGCTTACTCATCCTTCATGGACAACAACGAGCTGGCTCTGGCGCTGAAAGAGGAAGAGCTGGACAAGGTATACTAGGAAAAAACTATCAAAAATCTTTTTTCTCGATAGGCTGTATAAGTATTGTTCAGGTCGCGGTATATTTGTCTAGATGTGGGCTTCAACCCAACTCCGAGCTGACCGCTAAAGGTTACCCAGATTTGGGATGGGATCCAGTCGAAGGAGAAAGGTGATCCTGACTGCTCATAGACGTTATTAAGAAAATGGCCTTTTTGCACCACTACAGTAGTCATGCGCGTCGTAAAGGAATGCAATCTGTCGCGTGCGGATAACGCACATACTACCTTTGAGCAATAAATCTCGGTCCAATTGCGTCTAATGATTATTTGTGGCTTACGGTCTAAATGTCAAGAAACCATTCCTGACCTTGTTGGTGTAGAGTAGAGCCAATTAAATTTATGATTGCAGATACATTGACTTCCTTCGCTTCTGCGTCTGGATAAACGGCGAAAATGTGGAAGAAAACGCTAATTTGGTTATTCGACTTCTGATTAGACGACCGGAATGCCTTGGTGTTGCGTTGAAAGGCGAGGGTCAGGGATTGTTTGCCGCTTTTAAGGTAACTATCTGTAGCTTTTGAAATATTTATACTATGAAATGCTTTTGCAGGAAGCCATCGCTCTCTCAGAGGATATCCGTCTTCTGGAGGAAGAGGGTGACAATGCTACGATGCTTAAAAGTGGATTGCTAGGAGAATCACCGTAAGTTTCAGGTCTTATATCAAAAAGATGGGAAAGAGGACATCTACAGACATCCAGTCCCTCTCATCCTTCTGCCTTTCTTTTTCTCCACCTCCACAAGCTGTCTAGATAATCTGCACCTTTTTAGTTGTGATAAGCAGAATCATAATTGATGTCTAGCTTCATTCTCCTATTTTT